ATTACGTCTTTTCATATTCACTCTTCACTTTTTCTCAAAATATTCATCTCTATCTTCATTAAATAAGATTATTATAGACAAAGAAAATATTCTTAATTAGTGTGCAACTTCTCAAAACGACTTGTATTAAAAATAAGAGGTAGTATTACTTTTTAAACAAAAAGTGTATGATATTTTTGTATATGTTTCTATAGTATGCTATTTTTTATAAGAGGAAATTACACTCTGTACAACTCCTATAACTTTTTATTGCAAAATTACCACATGCATAATATTAAATTGCATTACTATTAAATGTATAAAAAATAATTAATTGAAGTATGCTATAACTGATTAGCATAATTAAATGTAGGCTTTCTCTCTCATTCTTATCTCTTCTTCTCCATTCTTCTCTATCCCTCTCTCTGTTATTTTTTTTTTCCTGATTGGTGAAATCCTCCCTCTCTATCTCTCCCTCTCTTTGTTTTTTTTCTTTTTCTGATCGGTGGAAGACGACAATAACATTTATAAAAAACTCGACGTCTAGATCTGAAATTATTTTCAGTATATGTTATGTATATGTTCGGTATATTTTCGGTATACATATATAAACCTAGAAAATGGTATATGTTCAGTATATATATGTTCGTATATGTTCTGTATATGTTCGTATATATTCGGTATACTTATATAAACCCCAAAAATCTACATATATATATATATATATATATATATATATATATATATAAACATCGGATCGGAATAAAACCAGAAAATATACTACATATATACCAAACTTTGCTGAAAATACCACATATATACAAACAGAAGGACCTAAATTAACGACACAAAAAAAAACATGAAAATACAGAGAAAAAGATGTATACAACTATACATACACGTGCGACCATTAGAGACTGCTTGATCGAAGGGAAGTGATCTGTTCATATTCTCTTTTGCTTCATGTTCATATTCTCTTTTTGCTTTTGAGTTTTTTATAATTTAGAAAAAATAATTTATGGTTTTGTGGAGATTTGGGAAGATGATGTATTGACGGCAGCGCCATGAAACTCGAAAGAGTTTGCTGTTTGGAAGAACAAAAATGGCCACAGATGAAGGGGGAGAGAGGGTTGGCTGCTATGTTAATGGTTCGTTATTAATTTATAGCATTTATGTAGATATTTATGTTAAGTTAGGTCATATTGCAAATAAGTTTTTAATTTTGTATATGTGCAATATTTTGGCAATCACTAAAACATGTATGTAAATTAGCCTTTTTATAAATCCATCATAAAAATGCAGGGCTTTTTATTTAAATTTACGTTGCCGAATTTTCGCATTGTTGCGTCAACATACAATTGTAGGCATGTTTGTTAGATCCAAAAAAAAAAAAA